GTCCGCAAGAATGCTGAGACTGACTTTATATCGCCTATGCGCAGGGACACTGGGGGCGTTCGGGCTGGGTTGGTAATCAAAGCCTGACCCGCTATGATGGGGCCTAACCTGAAGAGACCCTGCTCAATAGATTGGGTGTCCCTTAGATAGAAGTTGATGAAGACATTCTGCGTTCTCCAGAAGCCTGCCCTCTGAATGTGTTCGAGGGGGGTGCCTGACGCTAGCGCTAGAGAGTTAGCAATCGCACGGACCTCATGTGCTCGTACTTGGTGGCTCTGCAAGGTCTGTGTTGAGGAGGATAATGTATTATAGATCTCCAGTACAGTCGCAGTAATCCACCTGGCGATGGAAGTCGGGGAGGCCGGCTTATCCTGTTTGCCAGGGTCGTAACACACAAACATGTGTTTGGTTCCCCGTCTCGAAAAGCCTGGTACGGTTCTCGTAGCATCTCAATGCTCGAACCAGGCAGAGAAGCAATTTCTCCTGATCCTCTGACCGACAATATTTGACAGCCGGGGGATGACGATTGGCTGAGGATCGTGTCCTGGGATTTGGTTCTTGGCGAGAAATCTGATGCGTGTCTTTAGTACAACTTGATTGTCCATAAAAGCGGCGCAACCGTCCGCAAAGGACAGTGCGCCTAGCTCTGACTGGCGTCTACCTGAGGCGAGGGCCAGTAGGAAGACTGTTTTCCACGTCAAAAACTTGAGTGGTGCTGAAAAGAGGGGCTCGAAAGGTGGTGTGCCTAGGGCTGCTAAAACAACCGACAGATCCCGATTGGGCGGTTCCCTTGTACGAGTCCTCGGCCTCTGATTATGGAAAGCAGTAAATTATCTCTTAATAATATGACAATTGGCTAGACTTGACCCAAAAGAGTTTTCTATGGCGGGGGACAAGGCTGACCTGTACCAACATTCGCTGCGTAGAACAAACCTACTTCGGCAAACAAGTGGACAAAGAAGTCTGCTACCTGGCCGATAGAGGGATGGCATGGATCAATCTCCCTTCCACTACACCAATTAGTGTATGCTCACCATTTCGAGTTGTAGGCAGCGTTAGTGGAATCCTTGTTCGCCCTGGCCAGGACATTGGCAGCCTGCTTAGATAGACCTTTCGTCTGCGTGAGTCTACTGAGAGCCTCCATGCGTGTAAGTGGTACACTGCTGGGCTTGTTGGCAGTGCGCCGTCCGGTTGGGACAGCAAGTCCGGTATGTCTGGAAGCACTACTGGTGTTTCGACTATCATTTCCAGCAGGAGCGGAAACCAGGCCTGGGTCGGCCAATTGGGCGCCACCAGAGTTAATATGCAGGTGGGCTCTTGTTGAAGTTTCTCCACTACCCAGTGAATTAGCGGGAAGGGAGGAAAGGCGTACGCATCCATGTGGGATCACGGGATCGATAAGGTCTCCACGGTCGCTAGGGCCGACAACGATGGGGGAACGTGTCCGCCCTTCTTGTTGATGTAGGAGACCACCGCTGTGTTGTCTGTGCGCAACAGGACTCTGTGGTCTTGAACTTCGGGTTGAAAGCGTGATAGTGCTAGGTGTACTGCTTTCAGCTCGAGCCAGTTGATATGGTGGTCCCGAACCCACTGCGGGAGCCATATTCCTTGGGCTTGTTTGTCCAATAGATGCGTTCCCCACACTTGGAGGGAGGCGTCTGTTACCAGAGTCATAGCTGTGACGAGTGGGTCTAAGGGGACCCCCTGCCCAAGGTTGGTTAACGACGACCACCAGAACAGGGTTTCCTTTGCTTGGTCCGGGATCAATACTCGCCTGTCTAGTTCCCGCAGGTGAGCTAGGTGTTCCAATAACAAGTGTTGCACCAGGCGGCTGCGTAGTGCGGCCTGGGAAACTACCCTTCGAACGGAGGTCATCATTCCGATGAGCCGCATTAGTTCTTGGAGGGACACTAAGGGAACGGTGACTAGGCGTTCTGCTAGGTTGCTTAGCGCTAGGCAACGCGCTTGAGATGGGCGAACCAGGCCTACCTCGGTGTTGAACTCCATGTCCAGAAACACCAACTGTTGAGTCGGGTCAGGATGGGACTTTTTCTGATTTACTAGAAAGCCCAACTGGTGAAGTAAATCCTGCATTAGCCTTACTTGTCTGGCTAATAACCCCTTGTCTGGGTTGTGTAACAACCAGTCGTCTTGGTATGGATTGATGTGTACCGACATTAGGTAGAGAAGCAGTACTATCTGTTTCATCACTCTAGTGAACACGTAGGGCGCTGTGGATAACCCGAAGGGGAGCACCTAAAATTTGAATACTTGGCCCAGGTGGGCGAATCAAAGGAGGGGGTAACTCGCTGGGTGCATCGGTATGAGCAGGTATGCATCTCTTAAGTCTGAAGGGGCTAGCCAGTCGAACCAGTGGATGGAGAGTAGGGCACTGGATGGTGTCTCCATGCGGAGCCGGTCGAGAAGCACATACTGATTTAGTCTACTTAGGTCCAGAACCAGACGCCTGTAGCTTTTCGTACTACGAAAACATTCGAGTAAAAGCCCAGACTTAGCGCCGGCTGAACTGTGTATGGCGTTCTTTTTTAGTAAACTGTCTACTTCCTGTCTGATTGCTTCCACCTTGCGGGGATTCCCTGGCAGTGCCCCCAACGGGGGGGGG